CAGTGTTGACACTTCAATAAATGCCTCTCAGTTGGATCAGCAGTATCTAGCTCACACCCTGCACACATCTCATATAGTAACATACCTAGAAATAATGGAACAGTCTGAAAAGTCATTCAAGGTCAGGGTCAATACCACTTGAGACACTACTTAGGATTTCATAGACATTATGTCTATGACTCAATCATATTTTTATCAAAAACCCTTATATTTGTGGGTGGTTTGAGATGGACCCAAGGCAGTCATTAAACAAAATGTCCAAAACTCTGAACTTTAATGGCTTTAGGAAATAATTCACATCTGACAATTGATAGAAACAATCAGAGAAAAACTATTAATACCTAAAAACACAATCTCAATTAATAAAGATCAAATCATGTGTACATGAGAATAAAATAAATAGACAACTACGTAATAATTCTATTTTATAGTATTATGTACTTGCAGCAATCAATAAAGATGTCTTCAATTTGAAGAAACATCAAAACACAGAACAATCCAAGGCACTAATGAACATCAAAACACAGAACAATCCAAGGCACTAATGAACATAAATTTAAGAATTCAGTTGCTGAATTATACAAAGTATTTTTTAGTGCAAGGTAGCAATGACCACTCACCCACGACAACTGATTTTAAATAAATTAAATATAAGTTTTTGTATTTAAAAATCATTCTGTAATATTCTAAGATTACTTTTGTCGCTTAATTTATTTTAAATTATTTCCTTATTTATAATATTTGAAACCTTACTGCTGCAATTTGCTAATTCAGTGTTGCTAAGAAAAATTGGTGTTGGGAAAAATGAATAAAATAAATAAAATAAATGTCATGACTGGTAGATATTCTATAGGCAAGCAACACAGCCAGTACTGTTACAGTAAATTAACATCACAGTTGAAATATGAATGTACAATATAATTTTAAAAGTAAATTGTTACTTACCGAAGGCAAGTCGGTCTCCTCCATCCTTGCCGTCTCTCAGTCGCCGCCGAATAGCATGATGTGACCTAGCTGTGAAGCCAAGTAATATATTTTCATAACCACATAATCTGAATAAACAAAACAGGAAACCAGACATGTATTATGACCTTGGCAAGCCATAACTCATGACACATACATGCTTTAGTAAACATACTTTTTATGAATGTCACTGCATTAGTAATTGAAAACATGCCTGGTTACCAACAACTTTGAATAATTAGAAACTGACAATACCGGGATTCAGACATGAACCGACCATCTGTTAAACTGAGTGACAGCAACTGAAGAACATTAGTTGGCAGTTGTGCACTATATTGTCAATTGTGCACACTGATGAGAAGATCTGTCGAACATTGTCCGTCGTCCCGAACAGTGCAAACAACAGATCAACTTTATTATTTGGTGTCCTTGATTAATTTTTTATGGCAAACTATTTACAAGCAACAGACGGCACCATCTGAAGAGTCCGACATATAATAAAACTATAAACTCATTTAAACTATTATGCATTTGTCTCTGTCCTTCAGATGACCTTAGCCAAGAACACGATTTTATAATTTTATGTAGTATCTTTCAATTTTGTTGATAGTAATTCATCATAAATTATAATATCTTGTTTTTGATATATTAATCTATAATTCCGTAACCTCTTAGTGAATGTAACTTTCTAAAATTCAAAGAAATTGAAGATGATAACAACCAGAACAATGTACCAAATGGAGAATTGTTCAACAATCAAACATCAAACTACAATGTTTAACTTATTGAACGCAAAGGTCAACTATTAGCATTTTTCACAAGATAATTTAAAAAAAAAAGATATGTTGGCAATGAAAAATTAAGCCAGGTTGGTTTATAATTAATAAGGGAATTATCACAAAATACATAACCAGACATGGTGTAAATAAGCTTCTGTGTGTCAAGGAATTGCTAAATATGCAAATAAATAGCCAATGAAATCTAATTCATTATTTCCAACAAGAGCAGTTACAGTTACATGTAATTTCTATGCAAATTTGATAATTAAACTGCATAAACTATTTACTTATTTATCTTTATGCATATACTAGAATGAAACAAAACATAACAGTTAATTAGTATGTAAATTAGCTAATTAATATGCATAAAATATTATTCATGTACACAAGTTTCAATCCAACAATTATCAGTCATGCACCTCTAAAAAGCTAAATATGTGTACCAAGCTTGAAACTATTAGAACACACTGTTAAGATGAAACAAAACAAGAAGGCAACATACATTGTAAAATCCAAAAATAGCACCATAAATTTAGTTATATTTCGAATAGAATAGAATTTCGAATAGATTTTGAATAGAATGGAATATATAGGAATAGAATAGAATAGAATAGAATAGAATAGAATGAGCAAATTAAACAGGAAACATGCATATTTTCAGAATAGATTATCACTTGACCATCTGTGATCAGACTGCTTGTTAAGTTTGAAATAACTTGTGCACATAGCAATAACAGACTTGTAACTGGGACTTCTAATATCTTATGATTCCTCATTAGTTAAGTCATGGACACAGGTTAGATTAAGGGATTGGTC